AACGTTTCATTAAAGAAGAACCCGTCCAGAGGACCTATACAATTTTTTTCCTTTGATTTTTTACCTGGATTACTGAGATGCATCAGGACTTTATGTCTTATGCTGTGCTTCCATCACTGTGGATATTGAATGTATGTGTATTGTAGAGACATCATCTGCCGGAAACAAATTCCTTATCTGTGTCAACATACTTGGCCAATAAAGCTGATTCTGATTCTGATTCTGATTCTTCTTACCCTGATGTACCCATCATTCTGGGATAGGGTCAGTCTGGACTAGACCATGTGACCTTCTGCCTTGCACAGTTATTAACCTGATATCAGTAGTATTTCTGCAAGCTCCTTAGATATTTTCCCTGCTTGATGCCAATAATGTAACCCTTCTAAACAGATTACATATTTTCCCACAACGTCAGTATGTGTCTTTATACATGGTTGTTTAAGAAAATGAGAAACATTTCACTGTATCAMTTAAGGTTAAATAACTTCAGTTGGAACATGATCCCACTGAATAATGCAGTTATTATCCGATGGGAGACTTAGTTAAATCCAGGTGGTGACCAGACGAGTGTATTAAAGTATTGTTTTGATGAGTGAGGAGAAATCTGGTTGTTTTTGTGTTTGTGACTCTCAGGAGGTCTGGATGCTGAGGTGGGGGAGCGTGGAAAGCGTCTCTCTGCAGGTCAGAGACAGCTGCTGTGTTTAGCTCGAGCTCTGCTGACACAAGCTAAGGTGAGTCTCAGCTCTTCTTGCACTGGAACATCTCACATCTGTTGAATGTCCTGTTGGTTTCCTCACTGTTAAACAGAGGACTGGTCTGTTGAGCTGAACGTTTTTTTAGTTTTTCTGGGTTTTTGGGTCTCAGCGACGCCCGCTGTTGCAGTGGCTGCTGCTGAACTGGTTTATTTTACCTGAGGACATCCCAGCCCTGCATTACGACACYTTATACATGTGTTGAGATGAGAATGAAGGCTGAGTTTAAACAGGGTGTTGTCTCACTTATTTATGACTAGTATTGGTTTCATCTGTGTGCGTCGTCATTAAAAAAATTGGGCCTTGAAGATGTCTTCAGCAGCAAGTGCTGCCACAGATATACAAATTTTTTTGTCATGTCATGTGTTTGTCTTTAATATGTAGGACGAAAGACACAATCCTGAAACTGTTGAAGGGTGTAGTCATAGTAACAGTCAAAATTAAGATTTAATCTAAGTAATGAAATAAACAAAATGTATTTTCAAAGATAGGTTTACCCAGTCATTTGTAGTTTTATTTAGTTTAGTATTTTCATATTGTGTTAATTATTATTAATAGGGCTGTGAAATTAATCGAGTTAACTCTGATTAATTTTAGTGCTGCATGGGCATAGATTAAAATTTTTAATCGCGATTAATTGCGATTAAAATTTTAAATCACTTTTCTATGGCTGAATATGTAGGTTTGTACGTATATTGCAATGCACTCAGTGTGGAACCACACTCAGTCATGTTTGTAAATGAGAAGTGGTTCTCAAACAGTTTACCTGGATAAAGTTTAAATAAATAAAATAAAATAAAAACTCCATGTGTAACACATTATGTACATTTTTTTCTTTTTGTCTTCTTATGGCTTATTATATTTTATTTATTTATGTTTTGCTGACAACTGTGACCTTAGTATCTATCTTTCATTCCTCATGTAGAACTCATTTGGAATGAAAATCCTTGAATTC